TTTTCGTAACTTACCTACACAATCACAGTAAATACAATTTTCTTTACAGTAGGCGTAATACGAAATTGGATTCGAAATGAAGTACTTTACCTGAAAATTGAAAATGTTTGAACTATTTTTGGACAAATTAAGAAACCAATTCAGCTATAAAAGAGAAAACATAAAATTGAAAGAATGAAACGTATTACAACATTCAGTAATGGATTTGTACTTGACCAATATTTTTTTGCAACTCATGTAATTCTACCATTGCAGTTGAGTTCAAGGCTAAATATAAAATTCAAGGTAAGACAAAGCAACTCATTATCTGAACACGTGTTCAAGAATACACAATGCAAAAGATGCTTCTTCAAAGAAAACCTAAATGTTTTCCTTACTTAAGCAGAAAACGACAAATTCTGAATGCAATTTGAATCCATTCATAAAATTACCTTCAATCATTCATATAAAGTAAGTACAGAGTTTTTTGGTCGTTCTTCTGTATAGCATTCTATGTTTCGGAACAAACAAAAAGCTGCATCAGATTTTTATTTTTTATAGAATTTATAATAAATATTTTTGGCTAATTTCTAATAAGTCATTAATTTCAATAACCTAATTTCTAGTCAGTCAATTTGTAACAATTAAGCTATTTGGACTAAGCGGGCTTTACGATCACTAGCGCCATCTAGGGAGCGGAAAAATTGAAAACCTTTATTGTATCGTATTAGAAGACAAAAGAAAATCAATTCGTAGTACGGACAAAAATGCATTCGTAGAGCGTGAGTAACTGAGTCAGGTCATTGTAAGTACAAACACAGAGACTGTTTACGTTACGTACGTCCGTCATCTGTCGGGTAAAGAAAACATCGCGAGGAAAGCCGTGCATTCATACATTTTGTACTTAGTGAATGGTTAAAAATACAACTGTAGACGATCTATTTAGGTTTGGTGTGTGTACTTACATTATTCATCTTGTTTTCTCCATAGAAACTTGTATTAGTTACATTGTAGAGTTTACAACACTTTTTCTGAGTAGATATGTAATTTATCTACATCGTCAAGATTACACAGAAAGTATTCTTAACATAAAACGAACTGATACACTTCCAGATGTACCCAGAGCTCCTCATTATACAAATCATATTCAGTTCATACATTTCCTAGAAAATATTTAGGTACCTACATCAGTCAGTAATGTTAGTACTTTCTAGGAAAACTTTTAGCTAAAAGGTGACTGACCTTCTAGTAAAAAACTGGCTCCTAAGTTCCATTCCTATGGATATTAGAATAACAAATTTTCACGTCCTACATTCTGTATTGTTTAACGTTATGTAAGTATCTCAAATTGCATGAGCTTGAATATAAATATAAAAACACTGGAGATGCAGTCGGGAATTGTAATAAAAAGTTCAATTTGGGACACAGAAATTGAATTTCTGTAGTTTCCATGTATATTTTCGTTACAGATATACAGAAACTATGTAGTTTTTGCTGTATGAAAATGTAAGCGAACAAAGTTCCGCATTAAACTATAATTTGTAGTGTTCGTCATCATTATTATCAGTCTGTAACTAGGCCACTGTTTGGCAGATGCCTCTTCTCACACAAATGAAGAAATGAGCGTTAATCACCATGCTAGCTCAAGGCGTATTGCCGATTTCAATCTCATAATTGCAATTATAATCCAGATTTATTCACGCTCTTTGATCATTGGTAATCCAAACTAAAGCACAGAAACACATAACATAACATCACGCCTTTTATCCCCGAAGTGGTAGGCAGAGGTGCACATTATGCCATTGTACAATGTAACACCCACTTTTCACTATTTATGTTATGAGTCCCATGTAATAGGGGGTGAGCCTATTGCCATATACTGTGCACATTTCCAGACTCCGTGCTACTACTGAGATTTACCGAACCCGGTCAACGAGGCAGAGGCAGGCAGAAACAATATTTATTTACACTAATCCATAATAATCTTACAAAGTCAATGCATGTTTTAAAAGACAACAAAGCGAAGGTCTGCAACTGAAAGCAAATCAGCAGAGTCTAAGCTTCAAAGGAGACAAAGCTGTCCTGATAACAGGGGTATCTGAATAAACGGGAATACACGACCGTCTCACGAGTTGCATGTTATTACGGGGCTCACAATCCCGCGGCAACCACTCGTGATGTATGAACACTTGAATATGTATGGGCACGCAATTGCATCGCAGAACCTACAGATTGACTTAAGTTTTGCTCGGCAACAGTGAATGGTTTATGGAAAACTGTATTTGATTTATGCAATATCCTTGTTATTCTAACAAATATGCATGTCTGAATCGTTTTACGAGTTCATACAATTTATGAGGACGAGGAGTAAAATGGACTAGTAAATTTGGCTTCCCGTGAAATCCTTGTGTAGTCTAGATTAATACGAAACTATTATTAGTATCGCTATGTCAAGCTATTATGTTCCACGTTGAATAGGAAGCACCAAAAGGGGTCTAATAATAAAGCAAGTTGGGATCCTCTGTCGAACTATCGACGGTTGTTATAATGGCATGGTGCATTACAACAAACAATGAGACGCGAACTCGATAGTACGCTGTTGTCGCTGAACAAGCTATTTTAATTATAATTGCACCCTGTCGTGCCTGCGTCAGACACGACCAGGATATACCAACGTTAATAGCATTGAAAACAATAGTTGGCAATAATTCTGGCGCGAGTTTTAATTGGGGGTAAATATAGGATAGATTTTAAATGTAATGCCGGCAATTAGTGTTCGTGTGTTTACATTCCATGTTCGATAGCGATGATAAATGTGGGGTTTCTATATTTTTTTTCAATTTTTAACATATTACTCCACTAGTAGAAAGCCCATACTGGGTCCATCTAAAAGAACACAACATCTCGGCTGTATTAAAAATAATTACATTTCATTCCATCTATAGACATGCCGAATCACACTTTCCTACAGATATATTTATTACTGATACACCTAATAGTTCTTAAGTAAGCTTCCCTTTACAACGGTGACCCTTCCTAACCTTAATTTGTTGATGAGTATGTTATACAAACGACCAGAAATTAAAGGAACACTACCTGGTAAAGCTGACAAATCCTCTTGTCATGTTTCAAAAGGTACGGTAAGACGTCGGTCCCCATTAAAATCCTTAGCTTCCGCTAGTAATTAGGATAAGAAAATGGACTAAAGTACCAAGATAACTAAATTACAATGTTAAATAACGGGCGCTCAAGCTGTTATCATTCTGTCTTTGTAAGACAGGGCCTGAAATTAAATATTTATTTAGGTACGACAAATAAAGTTATTGATACACAAACATTCTATTTGAATATCTGCTTATGAGCATCCGTGACATGGTGTAGGTACGGTACATAGCTGCAGGCACGGTTCGCAGTATTAATATAAATATTCTAATTACCTAGGAATAGTTACACATAAATAAATGCATTAACATTGAACGCAGATAGTATCGACTACCGAGTTAACGATGGCCATAAAGCATTTTTCGCGTGCACGACCCGAATACCAGGAGTAATGCGTACAAATGTTAATAATGAATATTCAACAAGGCTAATAATAAATGTAAATTACATCCGCTGTGACAGCGAAATATATCTAATTTCAAAGGTAATTTAAGATCCTACACTAAATTAACTTGATGCTCACATTTGAATATGGAAATTTTAAAGGATATAGTGCCGTTGTTACTTCCCAATATAAGACTAAAAATTACCTAATTCTGAAAACACGAGTATAAATTTTGTGGAAATACTTATTTCTAATTGGAATGTCAACAAGCCTCTGCTTAGATATTATACAAACATCCTTCGACCCTCATCACGTTCATGATATAATTTTCTTTCAAGAAAAGCAATGGTAAATAAATACATAACACGGCCCAAAAAATGTTGAGTTCCCCTAGTTATATAGCAAACGTCTTGTAATGATGGATGAACAAGATAACAGCTGCGACGCGCTCGTTTAACCAAGGATTTCGATTACACAGACGAGAAAATCCCTCTAATACTGCTAATGTCCATCTAAACCGTCGCAGTGGTGTGACAGTGGAAAAATTCATCCAGGCAGACCAGTAATCAGTCAAGTTTTAGCTCCGCATTACTGTAATGGGACGCCCAAAGCGAATGCCGCTTTGTCTCCGTACACAGCGGTTTATGTAAACGAAGCCACCGAGTCAGCGTTTGTAACCTAAGTAATGTCAGTATGTTATGTGTGAAATTGCTTCCGTTGCCTCTAATCCAATTTAGTTGCGGCAGGGTGTGTGTAAATTGAGCGTGATTTGAGTGCAACACTTTTGTTAAATTACTACTTAACATGTTATACACATAGGATGTTGCTTTTAATCATTTTACAACGTAATTAGCACGATGCGTAAATCGTGTTTGGTTTTGTGATTTATGCACAGATTTCTGAGTAAAAGTCATGCATGTAGTCGTTACTGAAGAAAATTATGATTGTTAATGAAACACGTAACAGTCGTAAACAATCAACGGATAACTCAAGTTTGAACACCTAAAATCCGGTGCGCTTCGTTAATCGCTCACTGTGTAGCCACGAACTAATGCCGTCGTCCGCGCTTTTTGCTATCAGATAATTCAACGCTATTTCAGGACGCACTTTTTCGTCTTAGCGTGATCACTACACGAGGATTTACAGGGATTCAACGCGAACTACCAATAGAAACCTTTAATGACCGCAGACATTAGGAAAGAATTGCTTGAAAAACAACACAAAATAAACGAGAGATAGAAAAATAAGATTAGGGGGAATATTGACTTACTCCACACAAGTATAAAATAAATGTAACGGGTTTCTTTTCCGCAAGACGTAGGCTTATTCGACGAAGTAATTTTGAGAGTAATGCAATGTAATTGAACAGATTTACTCGAGGAAAAAAATATTGAAGGATGTATTTCGTTCAAGTAACGAGGGATTTGTAGAGCAGCTTTGACATCAATAGGTTTGTTTGTAAGAGAAAACTTACTCTGGATAATGATTCCGCTTCTAAGAAACGAAACGTCGCACTAACGACTGCGATGCTTACCTGAAATAGAAGAACATCTGTTAGTGAAAGAAAACACGGAATTATTGTTGCAATAGTTGAAAGGGTTTGTGAGGAAGACCTCGCAGCACACAGAGCATAAGAAAGATATATAAAATGTATCCCTTGAGGTCTTCTAATGTACATAATATTGAACTGACCACAAATAAGCAAACCATCGGGCACAAAACTCAACTTTTGGTTTTAAATAATGAAACTAGACTAAAACAAAGTTATACACGGATTGGCACACGACTAAAACGTGTTAGGAATATAAAGATTAGTCTAAAATATAAGCAGGCGAATACCCACATCCAGAATGCCAGACTAACGATTCCCTGTCATTTGGAACATACTAATGTATTCGATTCCTTCGAAGTCCCGAAGTTCTGGGAAGCCAAATATTTCGAATGAGGACGTAAGACCGAAACCTTCTTTGAATTCCGGCACGCCAACATTAGTAAACGCTAACGTCTACGTGACATAACGCCATCTTGATTTCAGAATATTATAAACAGCTATTTATTGTGAATTATTGCTAAAATATTCTGACAGTAAAGAAAAAGTCATGTCGTTGACTGGTAGTTCAATTTGCCAAGGCCAAATTACTTATGAGATTTTTGGAATTTCCATTTCCAAATTACCACGGGGCAAGCTAAGCGAAACAAATATTTGTGTAACAGATAGTTTGTATCGTGTTCGACTGTTTACTTGTTTGATGTTTGTATCAGGACATAACTGTCTGCCCAAATATTTCCCTTAAAACGATGATAAACTTAATATTCGGTGACAGTCCACTACTGGAATATGATTAATAAGCATCATGAAAATCAATCAGCATTCCAAATATTAATTAAACTTTCATTAATAGATTACAAGTGTATGTTTCAAGTATCCTTATCTTAATCGTAATTATATTAAAATGCTTTGTAACATAGTTTAGCATCTCTGAAGCCGAGATGAGCACTTGAAGCATCTCTCGACGGCCATAATCTCGAAGCTATTTCCGATCTTATAGCTACTTGGAATTGTTTGAATAACAAACATATTCTCGTATTAATTAGAATACGTGCAATACTCGCTTTGCTTTTATGAAACGACTTTTTAAAATTGTATAGGTATCATGTTTTTGGCTAACTTTATACCATTCTCTGGTATTTAAAAGTAAAGCACCAATATCTACAGCACATCCATTGAACATTTTTATGTTAATTTTTATGAAGGAAACCTTCAAGATGCATCAATTTTTTGGGAGATGTTTAGGGAATGTGAGCTTATGACCTCACTAAAATCACTTCGGTGATTCATACTATATAGCAAACCGTGTTTAAAGTCAAAATAAATTACTGGCCACAAAGTCGTCAAATACGACATAGCAACAACGTCAAACAGATTATTATATTAAAAAAAGAAAAAGTACCCGGTTATTACATACTTTTGCACCTTTAGTTCTTTGTAGAGGGGCCAGCAGGTTTACTTACTCAAGTCTATTAAATATTTTATCGGGTTTTCGACTTTATATCAAAACAATAAAGATAAAAATGTGTTATGATTACCACTGGAATATACCCACCAATTATGGTCATATTTTTTGCTTTTCGTTGCGATCTTGTTGGCAAAGGCCGTTCAGTTATGATGACATTGAAAAAAGGAATTGCGATAGGTCCGTTCTACAATGCTAATTGCATTACGTATTTAAAATTGTGCGGTAAACATAAGCGAAGGCAATATTTATTTATAATCACGATTAGCACGTTTAACTGAGTTGGAACCATTATATCATTCACTTACTCATTTCAATTTGAAGGTATTTAATCTTGATTAAAATGATATTATCAGACTAAACTTCTAAAATGCACTAATATAGACAGCACCTAATTTTATAGTGTAGGTAAGTAGCTATAATAAAACCAATGAAGACAACCTCTTAATTATATATAATTGCCACCTGATGTTTATAAACACTTTAACTGCAATGCATGAGTACAATTACTATTACCTACTATGTACAGTGGCCAACACATCAACCTAATACAATGTCTAATTTTTTGTCATTGGATTTTCGCCTTTATATCTAAACGATAGAGTTGAAAATATAATAAAGAAACTTGACAGAAAAGAGTAGGTTTGCCTGCCGCCTACTGTACTAATGCTACAGTATGTTTACATATTATTTTCAATACACGTGCTAGTCCAATTATATGTTTGTAAATATCGATCATATTTTGATTTAGAATTCAAGAGCTCGTAAATTGAACGTAGTTTATCGATTAACCTTTAAACTCAACTTTCCATAAATAGAACCATTAATTAATATATTGATCTATTCATTCATATATTTTGTGCCAAGGCTTAAGGAAGACTTCAAACTGTCGTAGTAGTTTAATTTGTTTGACCTTTACTGAACTACGTTTTGAACAACCAGGCCGGATTTTGGACATTTACAAGATGTTTCAGAAATAAAGTACTGTAAACTATCGCTTAACAAGGTTTAATTAGTAATATGTTAATATGATAAGTATGCGTTTTTATTCAGAATAAATAACAACATTTTCTTTAAGTAAAGTCAGGCTACGCGCGAACTATATATAGTTAAACAATTTCATCCCAATCTGTTCCATTGTTTTCGAGTAACAATCACAAATATGCACACGGAAAAGAACAAAACTTGTTAATCTAGAATTTTAGACAATACATTATATCAATTATGTTTAGGTACGTATACAGAAACGAGTTACCATAATATAAATCGTTGATAACAATAACAGTCCAACAGTACAAAACACGAAATCAAATCAATACATTCCATTCATTAGATAATAATATTTGCGAATTAATAATTTCTATGCTATACGTGTTATGCAATAGGGAATGATCATCATTATGATAATAACGAGAAATACTTTCTACCATAACGGGTTAATTTGCATTAGTATACATAATTATTATATTTTATTATAGTGACGTAACCGCATATGGAAATTGTTAATGAATTCATTAAAGGTTTTTATGGAACTAATGTAAAACGAAGATGAGCTATAATAACAAGCTCTAAAATTGTCATCATTCATCAATTTCTACATTTACATTTCTTTTCTGAAATGTCAAGAACAGATATTACTTTCTATCCGTACGATCATGAATGCATAACAGAATAACATTAAGAGGATGATCATAAACAGATGACGTATTACATGAACAAAGTACACAGCATCATTGTTTAGTGACACTTTATCTAGATACATAACTAACTTATAGCAGCTTATAACACAGACGAAACTACCCCATTTCGAAAACTTACACAGTTAAGTAACAAAAACCCGCATAAAATCCAGAGCAGTCATAAAGCTAAGAAAGGGCCCACAAAAGACGTATATATCTCTACAATAGTAAAGTGACGGTGCAGAGAATGCACTTCAAAACTACTAAAGACTGGGAGCGAAGTACTCTTTGTATTGAAGAATGGAATGGACGCGTCATCATGTGGGAACTATATAATAGAGAATATTATATCACAACCATGGCCCAGTAATAAAAGATCTATTTTTATTTCATTTCTTCTTTACGAGAAAGTTATAACTTTAGAAGGTTTTTTCCCAACCTTGAAACAGTTAACTTCGCTCTATTAATCATAGCCTTGTCCACTAACACTTAGTTTATGTTAGCCATTGAAGGAATATTTATACGTGTACTATGTACTTACAGAGTCTACAGCTTTGTGCACACATCCAAAGGTCGCCTAGACCGTAATTAGTAACAAGACTCAGTTAATAAACGCACATGTCCCGGATTGGGAGATCGGGCCTTTGGGCCGCTTAATCCTACATATCGTAACCAACCGCACTAATTGTACACGTCGTCGCGTTGACCCCCAACTGATGGCATACCCGTATGCAAATGAATAACTTGGGTGCTGTAGAGGTGTAATGTCGGAAAGGACGCATAATTAAAAGGTAAGTTAATTGTGCGATGTTCTCCGCAGTTAGTTTACCAGTAATTTGTTACGTTATGAATGGCCTCTTTGTTAACCCAATTTGTTTTAACGAGATATCTCAATTTATTAAACTCATTTATTTTATGTAATATACCAAAAAGGTCCAGGTCAGTAGGTAGCTACGAGAATAATCCTTAAGCTCTGAAAGTTCAACTAGGTAATTACTTACTTGTTTCATTTTGCAATAACTTAAATGACATATTATACGTTTTATAGTACCTAATTTACATATTTTCCTATGCAGAAACAAATGTAACTTCTGATGAGCCCGAACGGAAAACTTCAAATCTCTCTGGCAATTGAGCATTCGGTCTAAGAATCAGAAATCATCATCACAATATTAAAGAATTTACAACATTACCATACTCTGACAAAATTGCACGTAACATAAGGAGATTTTTTTCTCATATTTCTAGACGTTGTCTGGTTATTAAAGTTCGTTCAACTTCAACCTAAATAGCACGGTACGAAGGGGATTTAATCACGGTCGCGGGCATTGGTAGTGTTTCATAAAATTCAACGTTCGCCCCGTTTCGCTTATAACGCGAGATCCACTGAACCGATTCTGATCGGATTTTTCATATACTCGAATGCAGCTATTGCTTATAGACCATTTACCATTTTACTGAAACGAGGTACACGACGAAATGATACGCAAGAGATATTATAATAATTTAAACATGAAGAAATTGTTATTTTGACAAAGAATTCCACAAGATAGCTAAGAAATGTTAGTAATAAAGTTTGCTATCTAAGAAGGAAAATAATTATTCTGAAGAATGTTTCTGTGAATTTCCAAGCCTCGAAAGAATAATACTGTCTTAAAATATCAATGAACAAGCACGATTCAAGAACTGATTAAGATTAGATAGACACTTTCATTTTCTAAACTGGACAGAAGAAATAAGAATTGAAATTTCATCACAACACAATCAAACGTTTCACGGAAAATATAATGAAGAGAAATGTTGAGAACATAAAAAAGATGTATTCGTTGCTCCCGTCATTC